TAAGATGAACCGGGCAGGGAAGGGAGGGAAGAAGGCAACTCCCAAAGAGTCCAAACTGTGTAGATGTCGTTAACCACATTTCAAGGGGTCTTCAGAGATCTGGGGACTTCTTTTAAGGGAGGTATCCTAAGACCTCTGGTTTGTATGACAAACGCCCACATGCCGGTATCTGGGGGGAATGCCATGACATGACATCGCAGAAGGCCTGCTTGGTCGTGTTTGGAAGTCTGCAAGGATGTCGCATGCCTTGGTCTTGCCAGGATGTCCCCAGTCCCACTTTGTTCCTGATCGGTATCAGCAGACAAATCCTGGGTGTGATTTTTAGCCCCATGTAGGAAGGCTGACTCCTCAGTGAAAATGAGGCTCCACAGCTACTCTAGTTCCTAATCATGGAGGAAAGCAGAACAGAGAGACAGAAGGATGATCCCCCTCACTTCCCTGCGTGTTTCCCAGAGGGCATCCCAGCCGCAGGGCTGTCCACAGCGGCACACAGGTGCTGTCTGAGGAGGATCCTGTCACACATGTTGAGCTGGACAGCAGCACACCCGGATGGGGTCCATTTACATTTTGAAAACTAAATCTGAGCTGACCTCAGGCTGGGCCTCTTCAGTTCCATCTCCTGGACTTCCGAGGTGAGAGCAGTGGTGCCGTAGGCAGGCAGAAGGCAAGTGCACAGGCTGCACTGCCCTGTGGGTGCCCTGTGGATCGCACTGCACATCTGCACACATCCGACAAGGGCTGAGAGGGAGGAGAGCAGAAGAGCCTGCCACACCCTGTGTCGGACCTCAGCTGGAGACCAGCACAAGTCCACCCTGGCATCACTGACCACATTGAAGGGAACTGCAGAAGCTCTGGGAAGATCAAGGCCTTTTGTCTTTTTCCTCCTGGCATCCAGGCTGGTTCTGCTGGTTCTCACCTGTGTCAATCTCCCTCACAAGGCCTCTGCCCTGGCATTCCTTCCCCGTGCTCTGCAGGTTTCATGGGAGCTTTTTCTGACACCTTGCCCCTGGGTGTGTGGGCACTGGGCTGCTGCCCTTGGGTGTCCAGTACCAGCCAGGGTTCATGGCACAGTGCCATCAGAATCATGCCAGGCGAGTGGCCTTTCTCTCCAGGGTCCCTGCTGGGGCCTGAATGTCCCTGTGGGCCCCGCATTTTCCTGTTGAAATTCTAACCCCCAATCTGATGTTGTCAGGAGATGATACTCTCCTGAGGGAACCATGTCCTTGTCAAAGGAGCCCCACAGAGCTGCCCTGCTGCTGCGGTCCTGCAAGGACCAGCAAGACCAAGTCTATGAAGAAGCAGGACGTGCCCTTGGCACAAGGACTGGCTGCCAGCTTGGTCTTGGAGGTCCCAGTCTCTGGGAGTGTGAGGACTACATATCCGGGGTTCACAAGCTGGCCTGGTCATAGTGATTTACTTAGAAACTCACATGACTAAGGCACTCATGGTATCAGGACAAATCGCCTTTCTGGTATCTTGAGACCCGTGCGGTACACACACAGACAGAATGGGCAGCACCAGGCGGGCAAAACTCATTTGTGAGGAAAAAACAGCTGTGTGACTCCCATTAGGTGAGGCTTAATGGGCTGCTCTGGGTATTTCCATCCATGTATCTAGGATGGAGGGATGGAAAGCTCCTTCCCTCTCTTCAGAGCTGCTGGAGTTAGACAACTGAGTGGCCAGGTAAGCAGGGAAAACCAAAATGGCCCATGGCTCTATCTCGAAATTTTCTTGGCAGACAGAAGCTTGTTCCATTATTCATTTCATCCCACTTGGGTCAGGTGTAGCCCTACTTGCTTGGGGACCACGCCTCACTCCAGAGAGGTGTCCTGATGATTCGGTGGGGAGAGGGAGGAGGAGCAAACAGAACATCTTTTATAAGGAGCTTGCTTTGCATCCCACAAGGCCTCCTTTCCAGCTTCGCACAAAGGAAAATTCACTGTCCTTTGTTCCATTTGCCAGAAACAAAGGCTTCCTACAGTCAGCAAGGAACATTTGTTCTACAGCTAGAGGATTCCAAGCCAAGGCCAAATTACTTGTGGTAACAGGTATATTGGGGATGGAGGTGAGGAGCTTGTGGAGTTTGGATGAGCTAAACCTGAAGATGGGTAAAAATATAATAATGCTTTTTCCTCTCCAAAGAAAACTGAATTTGGGGACTAATTTCAAGTACATTTTTGTTGGGCACAAAGACTCTTTCTACTCACTGTTTATTTGTACGAGTTTCTAAACATTCCTAAGAGAAACCAAGGGAGACAAATGGAATGATTCTTGTTTTATAGAAAAATTATTTAAACAGGGAAAGGGTTGTGCATGAGCCTACGTGTGTGCATGTGTGTGTGTGCATGTGCATGTTGGGGGAGGGCTGGGAGAGAATCCTTGCTGGACCGAACCTCTCCCTCCAGCTCCAGCTGGGTCTGCACCACAGGACAGGGGCCCTGTGCTCCTCAGCACTCTCCACCTTCTCCCCCTTTCCTTGTTCATCTTTGCTTGTTTCTTTCTGCTCAGCTGAGGGTATCCTCACAGCTCCCCACAGTGCGAGTCCCTTTGCTTCACAATCGCCACACCTCTCCGACAGGCAGGAACACGGTGGGACACGCAGACACAGACTCACAGCAGGACTGGCACCATCACAGGCTCCGTCCACACTGCAGACACAGATATTCAAGGCCTGGCTTTGCTGCCTAATGAGCTCTACAACTTCCAGCAAGTTGTCTGACCAGACGTAAGCCTCAATGTCCTGCTCTGTAAAACAGCAAAAATACTGCCTGTCACACGAAGTGCTTCAGTGCTTCCTTATGGAGATAAGCAGCGCCTATGCAAGGAGCTCCCAGCCGGTTGCTAGGTGGACACTCAATGAGCCCAAGCAGCCTGGGAGTAAAGGTAGTGTGAGGCCTTGATGCACAGCTGCATAACAGCGGTTTTCTCTCCGCTGCACTCATTGGGTGTTTAGCAACTCTTACTCCTGCTGCTTAAGAAGTGCAAATATTTATAGACTGAGGCATCGAAACTTTAAATTTCTCTGGGCCACACTGAGAACCAAAAGTCAGTGGCAGCCTGGAGTGTATCCATAAAGTTTTAACAGGAGCCAATTAAACACTGGGCTCTGGTGTAACCTGTGTCTTCAGAGCATCCCTCAGTATCAGTTTTTCATCTCCCCAGAAAGCAGTCCGGAGCTGCTCTAGATTGATCTCACAAACTGCTTTTGGGAAATGGTTCCCTAGATCCTGGGCTCTCATCTCTGCCTCCTGTCAGCCTTCGGAGCAACAGGCTTGAACAGGAGCCCTCTCTGAGGTCCAGGGCTGTCTCCGGCTGGTGCACCGCCAGCCTCCACCTGGCCTTAAAGTCAGAGAGGCCACAGGCGAAAGAGTTCTGGCAAGCAGCTCAGAGTGCAGGAAAGGAAAGAGTTAGGTGTGCTAAGCCCCGCACCAGGCTTTTATTTGTGTCTTTGCTTTTCCTCTTTTCTCTGATTGCAATTTGAACTTTTAGTTTCTATTATTTAAAAAGAGTAAACAACAACCAAGTGCGGTGGTCCAGGTGCAGGGGTTGGGCAGTGCAGGGGGTGTATCTATAATTCAGCCCGGGAATATTTCCCTGAATAATTAATCGAGCTCCACAAAGGAGGAGGCCCAGTAGCATCCCCTAACAAAGCTGCCAGCAGTGGAGGACACCAGCAGCCACTTTGCTGCCAACCACCAGCCCTGGGCAGGCAGATTTGCTCTACCCTAGCGGAGCTGGGGCCTGTCCCTGGTGTAGGGTTCCTTGTAGATTCTGCTTCTTGGACCCCTGGGAACCGCACCCTTGCACCAGCGCTCCGGAGGCCTTTGCCAAGCTGCCATCCAGCGCATGGCCTTTGCGTTCCAGGCTAGGGTCCCAGTGAGCAACCCTTGTCTACTGGAGAGTGGGCTGGAGGAGGGCAGCAGCAGGGCCCCCCGGTCTGTTAGGAGCAGCCCGGCCCGCAGGTGTGTGTGTTTCTTCCAGCTCAACAGGTTCCCAGGAGCTCCTGGCTCTCCTGTGCATGCCCTGCCCTCTGAGCCCACACTCTCCTCCCTGCACCCCGCACAGTGAACCAGGCTCTGGACCCTCTTCTTAGGTGCTATGTGGGCTTGAGGGAGGGCGCATGGACCACGGGCACGGAAGGTTCAGGCTGGGACAGGACCAGACAGGACAGGACGGGAGAGGGTGAGGCAGTACAGGACAGATCTGGCCAGGGACAGGCCAGGCTAGGACTGGACGGGACGGGAGGGGCCAGGCCAGGCCAGGCCAGGGCAGGAGTGGACAGCAGCGGACTGGATGGGGCGGGACGCGACAGGACCGGGTCCCAGGTGCCTGTCACCGTCACCGCCCCCTTCGCCCCGCGCCTCCTCCGCCGCCGGGGCGCCCTGGGTCCCCGCTGTCCCCTGAGTCGCCCGCGTCGTGACTGCACCGCCCGCGGCCCCACCCCGCGCCCAGGCCCCGCCCCGGGAGGCGTGTCCCGCCGGGGCTGCGGGCGGAGCGGCGTCGCGGGCGGCCGGGCGGAGCTGTCCAGGGTCAGCGCCGCGGGCCGGGCGCGGGGCTGGGTGCGACCCCGCGCCGCTGGAGCAGGACGGTCTCCCCCGGGCTTCCGGGGCGCCGCGCGGACGGTGAGTGCCCCCGGCCGCGACCGACGTTGCGGGAGATCCCGCGAGGGCGGGCGCGGGGTCGGGGCGGTGGGGTCGGATGGGGTGGCCCGCCCGTCCGGTGCCTGCTCGCGGCCGCGCCTCCCGGGTCGCCCGTGGGCTGCGGCGGGGTCGGCGTGGGCGCGAGATCGGCCTGGCGGGGGTGGGGGCGCGGGCGGAGTGCGGGGTGCGGGGTGCCGGGTGCGGGTGCGGGTGCGGGGCGGGCGGGGTCCCTGGCCTCTCGGGCGGCCGCGGGCGGCTGCTGCTTGCTGCCTGGGAGGAGGGCGACTGTCAGCAGCAGGCTGGGTTGCTGGTCCCCTTGCCCTCCTCCTCCTCCCTCCCTTCTTCTTTCCCCTTCCCTCTTTTATTTCCTTCCTTCCTTCCTTCCCTCCCTCTCTCCTCCCTCCTTCCTTCCTCTTTTCTCTTTCCCTCTTTCCTCCCCTTTTCCTTCTTTCCCTCCTTGCTTCCTTCCTTCTTCCTTCATTCCTTCCTTTCTTCCTTTCCCTTCCCTCCCTTCTTCTTCCCTTCCTTCCTCCCTTCCTTCTATCCAGGAGCAGGGAGGTACCTGGCAGCCAATTAAGAAGGAAACGATTTGCTTTTTGTCGGGTGCATGGCGAGTTAGATAAAGAAAAATTAGCAGACCTAGGGGCAGTAGATGAGAAATCGGTGTGGAGCAGGAGGGGGCAGTCTGGGTCTGCCAGAGTTGGCGGTGAACTTGGAGACCCTCTGGTTCCTGGCCTTCGGAGGAGCCGTGGGGTGAGGCAGGGTTGCTGGTGCAGAAGCTACCTAGGCCCTGCAGACGCAGCAGCAGGGCTTTATTTAAGCAGTGCGTTGTCACTGCTTGCAGAAGTTGGGGAGACACCAGCAACTCTGGGGCTGTCTGGCCTGTGCAGCCCCTAAGTGATGCTGGCCTGGGGTGGCACAGTGATTGGAGCCACCCTGAGGTGGTTTTCCAGTGCTGACTTGGGGTGGTGGCTATTGCTCAATATGAGACAGGTCGGAGTCCGCAGAGGAAGGCGCTGTCCACTGAGAAGCTGTCACAGGTGCATTTCCTGGGTTTGGGTTTGCTGTCCGTGGGGCGCCCTCTCCCTTGGGAAGGTTTAGCATCGATTGGGCAGCTCTGTGTTTGCCACTGCTGTGCTTGACATTTCCCCAAACTCCAGTGCGTTTCAGTGACAAGGTTGACAGTCTCAGGCCAAGCAGCAGGTGGTCAAGAGCCCAGCCCTGCTGATGGTTCAGAAAGCCATTTCCCTTCTGCTTCCAAGTGCTTCCAGTAATAGAAGCTGGTGGCTGCCCTGAATTCTGAGCATTGGCTTCCTCTCTGGGTCACTCCTCCCTGCTCTCTTAGAAGCCTTGTCAGAGGGATATGGAAGAAGCTGGAGGAGATAGAATATAGGGTCGGGGTGGGTGGGTCCAGATGAAACTCGCTGGACCTGGAGAGCAAAAAGGAAAAAGGAGGGCCAGGAATAGCAGGTGCCACTGCACCGAAGGGGACAGGTGATGGTCAGGAAATGGGAAGAGACTGGAAGGGAAGGGGGGCGCTCTCGGAGGGGTGGAAGCTGCAGATGAAATGGTAAGGGGTGGAGCGTGGTGCACAAAGCCCACAAGTACCAGTGTTTAAAAGATGAACTGGTTCCTCTGGAAGAGTGTAGGAGGCAACGCCTAGGTGAACGTGGCAACACTATATGGGGAGATGATTATTAGAGAGGTGGGAGCTGGGATTTGCTTCTGGGCTGTGGGTGGGGGGAGGGAGTGCTCAGGAATCCAGGCACAGAAAAACAACAGGGCCTGCTACCCCAGTGAGGAGCTGCGGGCCCAGCACAGGCACTGGGAGTCTCAGGATGTCAGCAGAGCCCTCACTGTGGATGGCAGGAGAGGACAGAAGCCTTTGGGACAGGTCAGGGCTGTGCTATTCCTGAGTACGCTGCTGTTCCTATGGCCACTCACAGTGTACAAGTCTATCCCACTGCCTCATCCACCCCTTTCTCAGGTGGCCTGAGGGACGTTGTATCATGTTATTTACACCCTGTAGAGGAGCCGATTAGATCTCTTTCAAGTAGCAGAGTCTACTTGAAAAAAACATTTTTTCCAATTTTATTCTTGAGTCAAGAGAGAAGTGCAAAGTTGCTTAATTCAGAAACACGTTAGGAGTGGAAATGTAGGAGATGCACTGAGGCGTGTGAACGGTGGGAACACCTGGAGAGAAAAGGCACTGGGGATGTGGGGTGGCCCCCTGGTTGTGAGAACGGAAAGCTGGCATTGGCCAGGGCAGGAGGAGAGCAGAAAGCCGGCGACTTGAGAGTGGAGAGAAGCAGGGGAATGGAAGTGTCATGGAAATAGACGGAGCTGAAGTCACAGCCCGAGAAGAAGGCGAGGAGGAGAGTTAAGAACAGCCTGGCCATTCTCCTGAGCAGTTGTAGTCTCCGGTCTGTTTGTCCGGCTTGCCTGAGGACGGAAGGAGGTGCCTGGTAGGGAGGCGCTTAGTTTGCCTGTGTGATGCGCCTCCTCCTTGTGTTTTGATCCTTGCCTGTTTCCCACCCCTTTCAGGTGAAGCACTGCCGCCTCTGCCCGAGTTTACCCAAGGATGCTCTGCCCTGCCTTGATTTCTGCGGAGAGCGCCGAGCTGGCGTGGCCTCGGTGGGCACTTCGTCCTGCTTCTTCTCTACCTCTCAAGGTCTCTGCCTCCACCTGCAGCTTGGCTTTGATGTGGGGTCCAGGGCACCTGTGCTGCATGTGAGGGGAGCACCTGGGGACTCTGCTCCTACACTGAGCAGCAATGGCTCGGCACCCTCCGTGCCCCATCTTAACGTGGTGGGTCAGACCTTCTCTGGAAGGCAAGTGCTAAGACTAATGGCTGATTTGCATTTTATTTAAATTTCACGGACTGGGCTTTGGACAGATTCCATGGCAGAAAAATATATTTCATTTCCTGGACACCACGGCTGGCAGTCAGATACTTGCTGCCTTGGCACCATGCAGCCGGATCACTGACCGCACCCAGGAGAGGCCTTTCCACATTGGAACATCCGCCCTGGCCGAGGGGTGTGGGAGACCCCGACTCTCCCCGTGAGGCCCACAAGCGTGAGGCTGTGTGTCTGGACCAGCGAAGGTCTGGAGAGCAGCACTGAATCCTTGAGCCGAAAGAGCATGGGGTGTGCTGATTTAAAAACAGAAAATGCAAAGTTGGACTGAAAATATCTTTAGTCTTCCAAGCAATCTGCTTAAGGGTTCCAAACTTACCTTCCTTTGGTGAGCAGAGAAGCTGCCCTATTTTTTTCCCATCTTTATTTCTTATTTTCTCTTTCTCTTTCTCTTTCACTTTCTCTGTCTCTCTGTCTCTGTCTCTCTCTTTTCTCTTTCTCCTCCTTCTCCTTCTCTTCTCTTCTCTTCTCTTCTCTTCTCTTCTCTTCTCTTCTCTTCTCTTCTCTTCTCTTGTCTTCTTTCTTTCCATCTGTTTTTCTGTCCTCTGTCTTTCGTTCTTTGCTTCTTTCACAACTGGAACCAGCCATTTCCCAAAGCTGCCGCCATGGAGGTCGCTATGGTGAGTGCAGAGAGCTCAGGATGCAACAGCCACATGCCTTACGGGTACGCAGCCCAGGCCCGGGCCCGGGAGCGCGAGAGGCTGGCGCACTCCAGGGCCGCTGCAGCTGCTGCTGTGGCAGCCGCCACTGCAGCTGCTGCAGAGGGCAGCGGAGGAGGCTCTGGGGGGTCCCACCATCACCACCAGCCCCGCGGGGCCTGCACAGCCCACGACCCTCAAGGCAGCCGCGGGAGTCGGAGAACGCGGCGCCAGCGGCCAGAGAAGAAGAAGGTCCACCACCGGCAGGGCAGCTTCCCGCACTGCTCCGACCTGATGCCCAGTGGCTCTGAGGAGAAGATCCTGAGGGAGCTGAGTGAGGAGGAGGACGAGGATGAGGACGAGGATGAGGAGGAGGAGGAGGGGAGGTTCTACTACAGCGAGGAGGACCGCGGCGATGAGTGCTCCTACACGGACCTCCTGCCCCAGGACGATGGCGGTGGAGGCGGTGGCTACAGCTCTGTCCGCTACAGCGACTGCTGTGAGCGTGTGGTCATCAACGTGTCCGGCCTGCGCTTCGAGACGCAGATGAAAACCCTGGCCCAGTTTCCAGAGACTCTGCTGGGGGACCCCGAGAAGAGGACTCAGTACTTTGACCCTTTGCGCAATGAGTACTTTTTCGACCGGAACAGGCCCAGCTTCGATGCCATCTTGTACTATTACCAGTCCGGAGGACGTCTGAAGAGGCCGGTCAACGTGCCCTTCGACATCTTCACGGAGGAGGTAAAATTCTACCAGCTGGGCGAGGAGGCCCTGCTCAAGTTCCGCGAGGACGAGGGGTTCGTGAGGGAGGAGGAGGACAGGGCCTTGCCAGAGAATGAGTTCAAGAAGCAGATCTGGCTTCTCTTTGAGTACCCAGAGAGCTCCAGTCCTGCCAGGGGCATCGCCATTGTGTCCGTGCTGGTTATCTTGATCTCCATCGTCATCTTTTGCCTGGAGACCTTGCCCGAGTTCAGGGACGACAGGGACCTGGTCATGGCACTGAGCTCCGGTGGGCACAGCGGGTCGTTGAACAACACCTCGGCGCCCCGTCTGGAGAACTCGGGCCACACGATCTTCAACGACCCCTTCTTCATCGTGGAGACGGTGTGCATCGTGTGGTTTTCCTTCGAGTTCGTGGTCCGCTGCTTCGCCTGTCCCAGCCAAGCCCTCTTCTTCAAGAACATCATGAACATCATTGACATCGTCTCCATCCTTCCTTACTTCATCACCCTGGGCACGGATCTGGCCCAGCAGCAGGAGGGCAGCAACGGGCAGCAGCAGCAGGCCATGTCCTTCGCCATCCTTAGGATCATCCGCCTGGTCCGAGTGTTTCGGATCTTCAAGCTCTCCAGACACTCCAAGGGCCTGCAGATTCTGGGCCACACGCTCCGAGCCAGCATGCGTGAGCTGGGCCTTCTCATCTTCTTCCTCTTCATAGGTGTCATTCTCTTCTCCAGTGCCGTGTATTTTGCAGAGGCAGATGAGCCCACTACCCATTTCCAAAGCATCCCCGATGCGTTCTGGTGGGCTGTTGTCACCATGACAACCGTGGGCTACGGGGACATGAAGCCCATCACAGTGGGGGGCAAGATTGTGGGGTCCCTGTGTGCCATCGCAGGTGTCCTCACCATCGCTTTGCCGGTACCCGTCATTGTCTCTAACTTCAACTATTTCTACCACAGAGAGACTGAGAACGAGGAACAGACGCAGCTGACACAGAATGCCGTCAGCTGCCCCTACCTCCCTTCCAATTTGCTCAAGAAATTTCGAAGTTCCACGTCTTCCTCCCTGGGGGACAAGTCTGAGTATCTGGAGATGGAGGAAGGGGTGAAGGAGTCCCTGTGTGCGAAGGAGGAGAAGGGTCAGGGGAGGGGGGATGACAGTGAGACAGACAAGAACAACTGTTCCAACGCGAAGGCTGTGGAGACGGATGTGTGAATGGCTTTCTCCACCAGCCAGGCCCCCCAGCATCTCCAAATAGATTTATGCATAGACAGCGCAGTTCTGAAAGTAAAATATGCAAATGAGCCCAGTGCATACGGTAGTAGGCCATGTAATGGTAATACATGGTATAATTGTTACTAAACTTGTATCACACGTCAAATAAATGAAACATCTCGGAGAAGAGGGAGGCTTAAATAGGAGCAAATCTATCTTTATATTTTTTATTAGAATGCAAGAATTTTGCACATGAGCTGGAAGGGATGTTCATAGTAAGGCTGGTTCCATGGAGAGAGAGAGAGAGAGAGAGAGAGAGAGAGAGAGAGAGAGAGAGAGAGAGAGAGAGAGTGTATGTGTGTGTGTGTGTAGGTAAATTGTCAGCATTGTTGGAAATTGTGCAGTGACAGGAAAAGTTGGCATTTTGAAGTATTTACTATGTAAGAACTAATGAATCTGAGCAGTCATTTATCAATGCTTTAATAGCATCTCTAATGTCTTGGATTCTGTAGTTGTTTTTTAAAAAACTGTAAGAGTTACTGTGTACAAAAAAAGAGGAAGTAAATTATTTAACAGAATATAGGTCACAATTTTATCTTGGATTTAATTAAAGTTTATTTTTGACTGGAAATTAACTTTTAAAAAGGCTGCAGGGGCCTTTAGAAATTGATTATATTTTATTATTAATTTTGGAAAGAAGTGACAACAAATGCCTAACATTATGGAAAAGATGGAACTGGAGAAAATGTAACAAGTTTTGTTCCCAGGTGATGGAACTGGAATTTGTTTTCCTTTGCACTACTTTATATGCTGAAGACTGAGAGACTCCATACTGTGAATGTTTGCTAATGTTACAGTTCAATGACAATCATTGGAAGAATAATTTCTTAGTCTTATTTCCTTTGCTTTCTCCTTTTTTTTGGGTGAGGCCGAGGGCCACACAGTTCTCTCGTATTCTGAAATCTGATACACACAGGGATGTGAAGTAAAATTTAGCAACTCAACCTTTTGAAATTGGTCTGTTACATTGATGCTTTGGAAACCATACCACTTTAAATCTGCTTCTGCCTCTGAAGTCCAGAATAACTTAGCCAAAGTTAATGCATGCACTGAAAGAATTCTTGAAGAAATCCAACACCCAGCAGCTACAGTGATTATGGATTAAGATCTTTTTCTATTAAATGTTCAGTATAAGTGCCAGATTCATTAAGTTTATGTTTTGTGTGCAGCATGAGGGGATCCACCTCTGGTTTCGCATTCTCTTTGCTAAAGTGGACAGAAGGATGTATTGTCTCAGAACACTGGTTTCCTCATCACCATCATAGCTTTCTTTCCTAAAGGATTTTATGACACACACAACAGCATTTAATTCACAAAGTGTTCCAAAGTCTGAGGAAAAAACTATTAACTTACTTCATACTACTGACTCAGAATAAGGTGAAGGTTAGCAAACCTGATCTGCATACACGAGAGTCCTTACTGTTCTATTTTTTAAGTGAACTTTGATTCTTTATAGAACGGATGTCCTGAGCCTTGACATCCCCTTCCCCCAATACCAGATAGGGTATCTCAGCATGTAGTACACTCAGATACTGTCAAAAGAAAATTTAAAAAGACCCGGAATGGAATTGCTTTTCTCAAGGTTTTTCAATCCAGGTCATCATTTGGTCAATTTTACTTCTTGAAAGGCATTAAAAGTTTGCATCGAGTTTTAGGGTGAAAAGTTAATCTGCACCACTCGTCTCCCCACTCTTTCGTCTTCACCTATAGGGAAATGCTTTTCCAGGGTACACTGGGAGGATGGAGGGCAGCAAGCACTAGGGTTGATCAGATGTGGAAGCCAAGGTCAGTAGTGGACAAAACATGTGCATGTCACCTGTCACCGAGACTCAGAGACGACATTGTGACATGGCTTGGATTTGGAGCAGGAGTGTAATAAGCATTGCACTCGGCAAGGCTGCTTGGTGTGCTGCTCGGCCCTGTGGCAAAGCCATGTAAAGCTTCTACACTCAGCTTCCTCATTAGTAGGAGAAAAGGGCACATAGAGCATGTTCCATGACATAGTGATGGAGAACAGATGAGAACAGGTAAAAACTCCGAAATGTTGAATTTCATGTAAGGATCTGATGTCTGGTCTTAATTTTTGAATTTTTTCTTGGAGAAATAGATATTCAGAGCTCATGAGTTTCACTTATTCTGTGAGGAGTGTATAAAAATCATGGATTGTTTTCTTTGATGCCCTTATAGGAGTTTGATTTTCAGATATAAACTTGCAAATCCTTGACTAATTACTGGAGTTTCTTTTTTGGGCATAAGATCTCAGGGATTTCAGTAGACAAGAGATCATGTTTCTTGCCTTATCTTCATCTAGATCAGATTATATCTTAAAATAAGGGTTCTCTAGTTAACAATGTTTATTGCACCATCTATAATAGCCGTGGCTATGATTTGGCTAAGTTATGAAGGAAAAATTTACTGAATTTCATTGTTTACATAACTTTTACTTTTTATATTCTGGAAAGTTAAATTCATTTGTAGATACATGTTACACTGACCTTGCTGAGAATTCAGGAAATGGAGTTATTTAGGATCCCAAGGCCCGACTTGATCTTACTGATTTTTTAAGGTGAGAAGGTTGGAAGTGCTAATCCTGGGCTTTCAAACTAAGTATTACTAGGTTGTCACTAAAGTGTGTTTATCCCCTCCCTGCAGGAAGCATTTATTTTAGAGCTGGATTTGATTCTACACAAGGGAAAGCTCTTAAGCCCTCAAGACTTGCGCAGGGACACTTTGCATGCAACACTTCTCTTACAGGGAAGGTGTGAAAGCAGGACATTCAGTGCAGCTGTGAATGTATAGTGTTCTTCCAAATCGGAGCTCGGCAAAGTGCTTTAGAATCGTTTGTTAAAATTTTATACTAAGGAAGATGCTTCCAGTTACTCTGTGTAGCTGATTTAGGAAACTGGATCTCCTTAGATCCGCCCTACACATTTGTTGTAAGAGAATAGGGAAACGACCCCTCGTGGAGATCAGAATTCTTGGGATCTGGGACGCAGGAGCTGCTTTTCCCATGATGGTGTTGCCCGCGGCGCCCTACTGAGGGCTGGGCTCTGAGGTCTATTTCCAGGGAGGGCGCAGTGTTCCTTCCTGCAGGGGCCTGATGAGGAAAGCTAGGCCTAACTTAAAGGAAGAGAGGAGGAAGAAATAGTCTTTTTGATTTCTGTGAGAGAGCCTTAGTAGGTTCCAGGAGAAGGAAGGTAGTTAAGAGCTGCTACCAGCCCAGGGCGAATACTTCTGTCTCCCCAGGGAACTATTTTCTTTTTCTTGTTTTCTTTTCCTTTTTCTCCTTTTTGTTGTGTCTTTGCCCTCTTCTCTTCTCTTCCTTTCCATTTCTTTGTTTTTTTTTTTTCTGTGTCCCCTCCTTTTTCTATCCATCTTGGAAAATCCAGGATATTGGGCTACATTATTACTTTCTCCCTTTGAGTGCCAAAAGTTTCCTGTGGGCTTGCAGAAAATATTATATTAGCTTTATATTTTCTGAGTCTTTTAGTCAGACCAGCCTGGATTACTTTTTTTAGTTAAGTGGGAAAAGCGTAACAGTTTTAAAATCTCACTGTTAGATTAACTGCAGTATCAGGAGTTTGAGATTTAAAATAAGCTGAATGAATGAGAAGATGTATTTCAAAGCTATTTATCCTCATTGTTAAAGACAGTTGACTCACTTAATGAAAACTGACTCCTCTGACTCCAGTTGAATCCTTAACGGTGAAAGTTGGTAAGTAAACATTTTTATTTCTTGCTTTGCTATTTTGCCATTGTGTCAGTAAACAGAGCACCAAGCCCTGTGCTGAGGACTCCTTTTATGCTTGGACACATACAGCATTGCACAATTGCCGTGGCATCCCTTGTTAAATTTGCTCTCAACAGGATCATGGCAGCTTTGTGGAAATCTCCTCTTGAAGCATGTGTTGAGAGAGAGCTCAGGGTATGGGCAGGGTACACCTAAGAAGAATATTCTAAATTAAAATACATGTTTTCCTATTTTTAAAAAAAGTCTACAGCAATACATAGAAAATTATTTTTAATGGCATTGGAATAATAACAGGAGCATTTCCTGCTGCCCAGTAGAATCAGGAATGGTGGTGTTCATGATTAATTTCCAGGGCTTTCGTGTGACTTGGCAGCTCGACGGGTAAAGGGACACCTCAGATGCCGTGTGAGCTGCACTGCTGGGCTTGTGTGTGGATGCAGACAGTAATACCCCTCTTTGTGTTCTGTGTTTTTTTATTGATACAGTTTAGAATGATTACGGGTTGTCACTGAGTGACACAAGGGCCTGTTCCAGGAAATCTTCCTGACCCAAAAGTCATTCTGAATTCTGCAAGGGACAAATGATGTGGACAAAAGGTACTTCTTGGTTTTCCTGCCTGAAAAGAAACTTGACCCTGAGGACAGGCTCTGCCAGAGCCTGTAGGCAGTACCACGGGTTAGCAGACGTCTCCGCTGCTAGCATGGAAATCAGCGGAGCTGTGCGAAGCTAGGCGGTGGAGCGGTTTGTGTTCAAGCTGGAGGAACCAGTCCTGTTTTTGCAGCAAATGGGAGTAATTCTGAGAAGTAAAGGCAGATTAGGATTGTTCTCTGAGTTTTATTTCTGGCTTACTTCTCTGTTTCCATAGCAGTCCCAGTTTCTGACACTATCATCTTAGTAAATGTATGCTAATCAAACCATATGGCCTAACTTGAAGTTCAGAAGATGTGGGTAAATGGGCTTTGCCATGGCATGAGTTGATCACTTTGAAACCGTGCTGAGTAATGGAGCAGAAAGCCGTCCTGGGACTCAGGCATCCCTTGTGGATGTGAGGCATCAGAATAGATGTTTGGAGCAAATAGTGTGCTAGTGGCCAGGTCACAGTCTTGGAAAGTGTATCTCCAACCCACTGGTCACAGTGTTGCCCAATGATGATCCATTTGTTGTCGTTGGTGTTTTGGAAGTAATGAGTTCCTGGAACTAAATGAGTCGGTAGTTGACCCAGTCAGTCCTTGCTTCTGGACCTACAAAAGATCCACGGGGGAGAGTTCCCATATCTGATGTGTTATCTGTGTCTGGTGTTACCCAGCCTCGGAATGGTGCTGTCTCCTGTGGTGTAACTAGGAGAGAGAATGCAAAACTCATAAGATAAAGTGATGCAGCACCTGCAAATGACAAAAACTCCAGAGCTAGAAGCTAACGGGGAAGCTTGGCTTGTGGGGCCAAAACCTCATGTTCACTAAAACCAAGTACCTCCAGGACTTAGGGGGGTGCCTTTTTCAGGTTGCCTCACCACCAGCAGAAGGAATCAAGAGTTGAAAAAGCAGGAAGAAGCTGCTGAGTGAATGTGCAAGTGAACGTCTTTTGGAGACATAATAGAAGTGCACCTGAGCCCTAATTTTAATAGTATTTTTTAGAAATACTAACAATAGAATGGATGCTTTTTCTTCCCAGGTATTGACATTGTATAGAAATATAATAGGAGTATATTTTCATGATTCTGTAGATCAAGTATGGATTTTCAAAATCAGAGAGGATGAAGGCATTTTATCCCCAATTTCTTTATCTGTGGTCTTTGGAGGGTCAGTTACCTTGTAAACCAGTCAAATACAGTTATGTGGTGAGTCCCCCTTGGATACTCACTAAAGCTGGGTGGTGCGGAGCTAAATTATTGTATTTGTTTCAAAAGAGTGGTAATGGTAATGCATTCATATTTTCACATGTATTATATATTTCTTATTTCACTTTCATTATGGTGAAAGGCTTGTCTAAGCGATAACCGTCTAACACAGGGACACTGAGCCTTTCAGGGCTCTCGGTGCTACAGACAGACGGCTGGGTTGGATGCAGCAGGGTCTAAGGTACTGAAAAGGCATATGGAGGAATGGTGAGAATGTGGGGTATTCATGAGTAGCTGAGTGTGTGCAGTTTTTCAAGAATGGTGTTACTTGAAGACCAAAGCATCTTTCTTTACGTGTTAGGTTGAATTTTTATGTCGTAGAGCTGTCGTGCGAGACAAGGGTATGTAGAATTTCATTCTCAGGAGGAAGGGTTAATTCGCGTGCTTCCTGAGATACTTCCAAGTGCTCACTGTATTTAGCTTTTCATGTCTGGTAGGCCTGCTGTGTGAAGATCAGCTGTAAATTGGAAACTGGATCATATAATCCATAGC